CTCATTGCTGCTTGTTTTGTCTGTACGCTGAGCACTCGTGGACACCCGAGGTACGTTTTGGGGGGGGTTTGCGTGATTAGAGCAAAGTTTGACAGGAGAGAAATGGCTTTTTAGTATTCAGCGTTCTTCGCAACCACATGCATGGTTTATATGAGCTTAGATTTTGGAGCAAGATGTTTGCAAGCAGCAGCTTTTGAAGTCTTGAGGAATGCACAGGGTGCCTCCCGCATGCTACAGCGATCACCACGCGGAGTTTGCAAGTTCCAGGAGAAGGTTGGAAACAGGTAAAGTGTTCAGTAAAAGTTACACCGGACTGTAGAAATCTTTCGGTACCCGTGAATGCACTAAAAAGCCCTGCAGAGTAAGCAGTTCATGAGTCAACCCGCTGCGGTTTTTTAAAAAGTTATTTTGGTGCTCTAATTCATTTGGCTCTGCTCCTTTTGGATGAGAATAAAGGCAAGCTGCTCTCTTGAGCAAGGGACCGGAGTTCTTTGGCATACACACAGGGAAAAAAAGGCTGAAACAACACTTTTGGCTTTAAATTAAGCAGTGCTGTGTGGTTTAGCCTTTTGAAACCTGTGCTGTGGCTTAAAAGGTTTATTCTTTAGGACGGGTTGAACTACAGCTCCTGATCTTTACGGTATGCGAGATTCGGGGATCGGTGGTTATCCTGTTCGCTCGTTCATCGAGCTGCTGTGAAGCTCTCGAGGCTTTGGTTGTGGTTTGTGAAACACCAGCTAGAAATAAGGGGGGGAGATGTTCTGAGGACTTGAAACCAGCAGCAGGTCAGCGTTGTTTTTTGCTGACTTCGCCATCGGCTGCGTTGTGCCAGCCTGTGCCGCCCTGGGACTGGTGACGGAAGAGGAGCAGTGTGATTAGGGGTGAGTATCCTGGATGGAAACGTACGGGCAGGAGCTTCTGATGAGAAGACTGTCCGCTTTGCAGATACTTGTATCATTGCTTAGGGTTGTATAAATCAAACTAAACCTTTGCTATTTGGTCATCTTGAGTTCTGTGTACATCTTCCTCATCAGATTTCCCCCAAACACAGCTGTGTTTTTTGGAGGGGTTGGTGTTTTTCCTGATTTTTATTCAATATATAAACTGTCTTCTGAATTATGCATTTAAAAACCAAGCGCTGAACTGTCAAAGAGGAGTTTAAACTGGTAATTACATGATCGATTGGGCTGAAAGGGTTTAGCCTGGCTCCCAACTGCCTTTATTTTTCAGGAGTTTGATAAACCACCCCCCACCCCCCTGCCTAATCATAACTTCCTGTGACACCACCCTCTTTATCGCAGCAGTCGGTGCAAGAGCGGTCAGCGATCACTGCTCTCATCTCCTTACTCTATACAGAAGCAGGGGAGGCCCTGGAGGAGCCTTGTCTCGGAGCATCCCACGCTGTTCATTCCACACCTGACCCACTTTGCAGGCAGCTTCGCTCCTTTTCTGCTGCCGCGTTTCTCCTCAGGGAAGAGGAACGGAGCCTGGTGCTGCTGAAGCAGGGACCCCTGCCTGGGAGACGGGGGGTCTGCTCTCCTTTCTTCCCTCTCTCAAAGAAACCCCTGGTGCTGGGTCCTGCCTTGTGTCGGGTGGTGAGTTTACCCGGCTTTATCGCCCAGCCGTCTCGAAATGGCTCCGGGCGGTCCCTTTCCCCCTGCAATCTCTTTTAAAAATGCTTTGAATTAGCCTGACTTCTGAAACACACTATACTGATTCCCATGGACTTTGAAACCTCAAAGCAACTGCTCTTTATCACCTGTGGTGTCAGAACCAGCCTAGACCAATCTGCTT